AAAGAGTGAAATAATGCGTTGCGCGGTTATATTCTGTGAAATGTGCAAAAACGCAGCGGTAGAGTTTGACCCCCGAACCAGAAAATACTGTACCCCAAAAGGAGGACATAATCTTACTCTCTATTGGGTACCATAGTATTATTCATGGACATCAGTCGGTCATGCGAATCAGGCGTTGAGCACTTTGGGTATCCCCAAATAAAACCCTAAACCCTAAACCCCTAGACCCTAAATCCTAAAACCCTAAACCCTAAACCCTATAGACCCTAAACCTGATGGGAAGCTGCCCAACTGGGCTTCGGGCCAAAAGCGAGGCTGAAGGCACCTAAGGAAGCCACTGAGCTCCCTTTCAAAAGCTTTAAATCAGGGAATTTAAGGTTTGTTGTTTGAGGGCTTTAAGGATTTTATGGTTGAGGCTGTAGGGTTTTAGGGTTTAGAGTTTGAGGTTTAAGGTTTTTGTTTACAACCAGCGGACTTTTACGTCTGCACGTCCGCACGAGGCACTGGTTAAAGGTTTAGGGCGCAGGGTTTCAGGGTTTAGGGTTGTCTGGCTTGGGGTTTCAGGGTCTAGCGGAGCTTCTGCTCTGAGTTCCGCAAATCTCTGGGGGCATAGAAGCTGGCTTTGGGTGACCGCCAAGTGAGTAGCTCTTTTTTTCGGTGGTTGAACCTAGTAAGATTATATTACTTGTAGAAAATACTATACCCCAAAAGGAGGATATAATCTTACTCTATATTGGGTACCATAGCATCCCCAAATGAAATACTACTCATGCGGCATACAGAGTTCGAAGCCTTTGGATTTCGGTTCGGGAGACTGGGATTTGTTGTTTGGGCTGGTGCTACTAATCGGATTCTGAATAGGGTTTTAACTTGCTGGCTCTTAGTAGGAATAAGGGAATTCAGTATATAGGGGTTATATAAGGACTATACTTCCTTATTCCCTACTAAGAACCAATGAGCTTAGGCTTTAGGGTTTAAGAGGATTTCAGCGTGGACGTTGACCCAAACAGCCTTGTGGCTCATGCGCTCTTCTCCTGAAGCTCTGGATCCAAAGAAGCCCCATGGGGTAGAGTCCATGGTGCCCCTGGGCGCGGGGGAGGGGGGGGGGATGGACAGACCAGACGGCCTACAGCAAGTGGCAGAGTCAATTGTTTTGCAGTCACAGGAAGTCAAGCCGCAGTCGAGATTTGGTGCTGAAGTGCTCGCCTGCCTTATGGACTCTTCTTCCGAAATTCGGGACCGAAGAAGCCCCATGGAATAGAGTGCATGGTGGTGCAAGGATAAGATGGCCCACAGTAAGTCCCAAAGTCCTCGATCGTTTTGCGTTCCCGCTAATGCGCGATTCCGTGGATTGAGGGCCCAGATCTTTGGCTGAAAAGTCTACTGGGCTGCCTTTAAGGAACTTCAAATAAGTTACCATAATATGGGTATGGTATACATGATGGGGTTTCCATATTCTAGTAAGTTTACTTAGGTTCCTGAACGGCGACCCAGTCTAGGTACTCCATGGGTTTGAACTGGCATCTGCGCATGGACTTGGAGATGAAAAACACTGCAATCTGGGCCCTGATACTGAGCACTATGTCCCGTTTTAGGGACTTGCTTGGAAGGTCAAGGGAATTTTAGCAAGTAGGCTTAATGGGGATAACTAGTTACTAGGGTTATCAACCTACTTATCAGGTCCCCCTGACCCTGCAAGTGCTATGCCCGGTACATGTACGCAGGCGCTGGCACTGGACGTTGACATTGAATTCGAACATCTCAGCTAAGGTGTTGCAGATGCACTTGGATGGACTTGGCGAAGCCAACTTGTGAAGAATTCCGGTCACAATCCCTGCTACATAACGGCTTGTGGAGGATTGAAGAACCTAGAAAGCCAGTTGCCCATAATTATAGGCAAATTTCCCCTAATTTCCTACAACTTTGGGTTAAAGTAGCCCATTATTATGGGTAACTAGGCTTTCCAGGAAGAAGGTTCTATATTCAATTGTCAGCTCTCGGATGCTTCGTGGCCAATGCGAGTGGACCTTTGTGAGATTCGAACTTTAATCCCCTCCCCCCATACTAACCCCCCCGCCCACTCCTCCTGATTTTACAATACCTCACATATATGACAGTATACCACAATGTGAATATCTAGTCTTAGGGGGGGTAGGGAAGTTTGAATAGAAAGTGAGGGGATTACCGTAAATGTGCTGATGGCTTCGAAAGCGAGGATGAAGCCATTATGTCCGCGGCAAGTCTGGATTTGCGCGATTACAGCCCACCCTAAGTAGTTGGAATATGGACCCTCAAAATCATGCAAGATCCCCAAATACCCTGCATTCTATCTACTTCAGGGGGACCGTAGACCTTGAAATTATTGCCTTACTTGAAGGAATTTTGGAGACCTTGTCCAGCGACTTGACGCAGCAACTACTACTCAAATCAGAGATCTTCAAAGTTCTAGATTCTAGGTGGAGCATTGCAGGCCCTTGACAGAAATTCATCAACCAAAACAACAAAGAAATGGTAGAGCCACATTACACAACATCGGTCCCCACATCCATGCCCTGCCCTGATCCATGCTTCGCACGGCTCAGGGCATGAAGAAGGCATAGACCGGGAACTCCATGCCGTCCAGGGCCTGGCGCTCCCAGCGGCAGCCAACCCCCAGCGGCAGCTGCGTCCGAGGGTGGACCGGGGCAGCGCGATCGAATTCGCTACCTTCTATGACAATCTTGCCTTCACCCCAGCCATCGGGGCGACCATTTCGAAAGTTCTCCCTTGGAATTGCAGAGTGAGAGCCTGTTTGAAGAACTGATCATGCAGAATATTGCAGCATACTGCGATCATCTATCTTGGCAACAAACTGAAAGATCTCAAGCAGTCAAAGGCTCTTGGTAAGCCCATACTTCTCGGCATCCTTGTCCGAGAGCTCCGAGGATCCAGCTCCATAGTCGCGCACCCAAGCCTCAGCTGCACCACACGAGCGACGCACTTCACAAAGCAGCCACTTCACAGAAAACCCGAAGCCCCTGAAAGCTCCGACCAGGCCGCGGCGTGCACCATGCTGCCGACCCCTCAAAAGCCCGAACAACCCCAATACTCCACACCTCACCCTTGGCAATCGTCAAGTGTCTGGGAAGAAGATGTTCGAAATGGCGCAGCAGATGACTTCGCCGAGGTCATGGTGGCGGCGCACCTCCCGGAGCCAGTGGCAGCACCAGCCTGGGCAGCAGCTGAAACTCTGAACACTGCTGGCAAGAGAAGCTGGGATGATACAACTCATCTGCGAGCCTGCCGCAGAAAATTGACACAAGGTTGACATCCAAGCGAGTCAGACTAAAAAAACGTAGCAGGCCTGAACCTGCAAAGACAAACAAGCAACACTCGCTGTGCATTTCCAGCTTTTCAAGCTTCTGCAAAACCATTCTGAGCTATGTCCTCTAAGGTACTCTGGAGGGAGATGGCCTGTTCCCGGCTCTCGCATCCTCCCTACCCCTATCGAATCCCCTGCCAACCCAAGTTTGAATTCAATATGAGCACTTGTGGGCGTGTCTCCGAGCCCGTTTTGGAAGGGCCGAAGACGAGCTTGTGCCAAAAAAACTGAATACTCTAGATAAGAAGTCAGCTCTCGCCCAATCCAATCAAGTTCTGTTCTGAGTTTTCTTCGTGCGTGGAGTTTGGGCTCGTTCGGGATAGCTTCCGTTGTTCTGACATGTGCCACCTTTCCGGAAGAAAACGCCAACGTCCGGATTCTGGGTGTGTCCTGGACAGGCAGGTGAATCGGAGAAAAAACAGCCCCGAAACACAATGGGAGCTATAGATCTCTGAACAAACACGAATGGCCCGAAACGGTCTTGAAGCCTTATCACTGGGCGACTTTGAAACAAACCCATCCAAAATTCAAGGCCTCATGAGCCTGAAATGTACACAACTTGCAGGGGCCTCTAAAACCTGTGCTCAAAACGAAACCTTAGGATATCTGGTTGAGGTAAGCCTGCAAACAAAGTTCGCCTTGGAATTCCTTGCGGAAACCAACGTAGATGTAGCGGGCATCTTTATGGCTGGGCTGAATTAGTGAATGACTGCATTGGGCCAACCTAGCCTGACAAATGGGATCAAAGACTGGGAACACCTTCCAGCATCCACCCAGCAAACCCCACACCCTAAACACCTAAACAACAGGAGCCGAGGACTAGCTAGAGTGGCTAGTGAGGAATTATAATTTGTGCCACTCCATTATTGCCCTGCTGAGTCCAATGATTACATTCCAGCTTATCAAGTGCCAACCCAAGACTTCCCGTCTTGTCAGCATTTCTCGAAGGGCATTTGTATTTTGCGCCAGTCTCGGGCTCCTGAGAGGTGCAATGCAAACAACGGAGTGTCTCAAACGAAGGGCCACTCATGCAGAGAGGGCATCTCACAACCTTCAACGCCCCTCTGAGCCGCTAACCTGGGAGGCGCTGCGCGAGTCAACAGAAGATTGCCACTTCTGGTCTCGAGACTCAGGTGGTGGGACAGGGACTTCATCCCTCCCACAGTCAGTGGACGGATGAACCCAGCCATCAGCTGCAGCATGTCCGAAAACGAGTTCATCACCAAACCAGACGGTGGCCGTGCCTGAGCATGTGTTCGCAAGAGTTTGCGCACCACTGACCACTCCCAAAACCGCCTCAAGCTATTTGCAGGGGTTTCGGGCTCCTAAGCCTGCGTGAAAACTCTCAACTCAAAAGCCAATCAGCAAAGAAGCTCCCCTGCGCATCAGGATCTCGCAACATCTCCATGACCTTGTCGTAGGCCTGGCCTGGTTGGCAACTCGCACGTGACCGCGGCAAGGGATGCGCATGATGCGGCCTCGAGCCCCAAAAACTGAAATCTCGCTTCAACGCCCTGCACCCCCGGCTACCAGAAGCAGTTCAGACTGGTGCCCTAAAATCAGAGCGCTAGACTTGCATTGGAGCTTTGATGAGGATGAGACATGATGAGATGTGGAGAATCCAGCCCCGACAAAACTGCGACGCATTGGTCTCAGGAAAAGGAGGCAGTCCTGTGAGACAACAGTTCCGAAGGTAATCAGGGAAGCCGCCTGGGAGCATGTTGCCGCGATGATCGGGGGCAGAAATTCTTGGGCACAGAGAGCGGACAGCTACGAAATGGCTGCAGCTGGGCATCCTTCGCAGCAGGGCGTTTTGCTATCAGATGCTTTGACTGGTAACAAACAGGTAAGCTGAGAACACTGCAAGCAACACGTAGGAAAGCGAAGCTGGGCGGGACATAAATCTCCGAGTCCAAAGTAGAAGGAGCACGGAACGACCTGAAAGACTCTTACCAGAAAGTGACCACACGCCGGCTCCAACAGCAGCCCCCCTTACCCCCAATCCTTGAGATCCCAAGCAGGCCTGGCCTCCTGGCACGGAGGCGCCGGCGGTCGGAAACTTCTGTCGCATCGTTTCGAAGCAGTTGTAGTCCTTGTAGTAGGTAAAAACCACCCCGGTGCCCGCCTCGGCACGGCATTCAGCCATGAAGTTTACGTCCTTTGCAATCTCCGGGTTCTTCGCAAAGTAGGGGAGCCACCAGCATTTGGTTTCCCTCACGAAGTAGAGCAGGATGCGTCGGCTTCTTTGGAAAGAAAAGCCGGCCTCTTGTAGAGATCCGGGATGCCGGCGTAGAGCCTCAAGGGCGAGCTGGTGGGGGCGGCAAAACTCGAAGGACTTAAAATGGGTGTTTCTAGAAGCGATTATGGAGATTTCTAGATATTGTATGGGGTTTAAGACTCAGACTGGGATTTTATGGGAGCTCGGGGTGGTTTTCGAAGCTCGGGCAGCCAGCGCAGGGCCTCAAGGTCGCGCAGGTGGAGGCCGCAAAACTCGAAAGTCTTTAAAGATGGGCCTCTATAAGGGTTTATGGAATTTTTTCTTGGAATTGCAAGTCGAGAGTTTATGGGCTTCATGAGTTCAGATTGTAAGATGTTCAAAGGGCGTGCAAAGCTCGATCTCCCTGTCACGCCACGGCCTCCAGCACCACCTCCTTGTCGCGCCGCAGCTCCCACGACGCATATGCCAGGGCACCACCCGATTCCCGAACCGCCTGTGGCGGCAAAGTTTCTATGGGACTTGTAGCACTTAAAAGGAGTTTTCGTAGGGCTAATAGCAAACTCAACTCTTTACCCTGCCTCTTTTTGGTGAGTTTATGCAATTTTCTGGAACGTTAAGAGCTTGACTGGGCTTTACTTCTAGGATCCCTCCGCACAGCCTCGAGGCTGCACTGGTGGGGCGGCAAAACTCACAAGCTGTTAAAGTGTTTTTTTTAATGAAAGTGTTTCTGGAGTTGTGTAGGAGGTTCTGTGGGGTTTACTCATTTTTTTCTGCTGGTGGGCGCGGCAAAACTGAACTCTTTGGCGTGATTTTAGAAGAGAGTTTATTGTTTTTTCTTGGAGCTTTTTGGGCTTTAGGTCTCCATCTAGATTTTGTGGAGTCTACACACGAGCTTCAATTGTAAGATTTGTGTAGGGCTTGCAAAGCCCGATCTCCCTGTCACCCCACGGCCTGCAGAATAAACTCCTTGTCACCCCGCAGCTCCTCCGACGCATACGCCAGGGCACCAGCCCGTTGCCGAACCGCCTGTTGCGGCTTCATGGGGGATTACCAGGCGCCGTACCGGTTTCCTGGAGCTCGTGGCGCTTCTAAGAGTTTTCGTAGAGTTGTTAGGGAACTCGATCTTTACGATGCCTCTTTTTGGCGGGGAGTATGCAATTTTCTGGAGCTCTATAGGCTTTACTTCTAGGATCCCTCTGCACGGCCTCGAGGCTGCGACCTCAAAAGTCTTCAGGGTGTTGTAATATAGAGGGATTAATGAGTTCTTTGATGTTTACTGGGTACTTTATGGGGTCTGCCTGTGGGGTGACTGCTGTAGGCATTTCTAAATAGGATTCATCACGCTTTCATGCCGCCGCCGCCGCCTCCAGGGCAAGCTCCTTGTCGGCGCGGAGATGGCGAGGTGCATCCCTTCAGGGAGAGCTTGGCAGCTTGCTGCACCCTCCCCCTACTGCTTTTTTCGCGGGGTGCTTGGCTGAAATCGCTTGCACGAACTCTTCGGCTCCCAGCGGCCTGAAGGCCTTGAAGGCTGCACAGCCATCTTCGCCGCGGAGGCGCCTCAGGAGCCGGCAGCGCTCCTGCGAAGCGGGAGCTGGTTTCTGGGGCGCACAGCTAGGCCTTGCGAGGCAAACCTCTGAAATTCCAAGCAATCTGCCTGGACTTGATCCAAGCGTATCCAAGTTGAAGAGCCTCTGCTTCAGATCTTGCGCACGGCTATGGGCAGAACCTGGGGGGCCTCTATTCCACGCCGCTTGCTCCCTTGCCTTGTTGCGAGCCTCTTGCTGTGACCGTCTTCAGGCTTCTTCGGATTCTGGGGAAACCATCTCTATCAAGACCAAACCACAGACGGCCGGGCTGTCAAATTCGATGGCAGTGTCATCTATAGGTTCGGGATCCATTCCGGCAGTCTGCTGGTTAAGATGTGCGGCTCATAGTGTGCGGGCTCCTTGAAGGGGCCAGCTTAGGAGTCGCTTCTTTTCATTTCGAGTCATGTCTCTAATCTTGTCCAGGAAAATCACATTTGCGACTTTGCCCCCAGCCCTGCGCGCATGGATGAGTGCAACAGGTTTATGTTGTGGAGCATGTCACGCACATAGTGTCTGCCGACCAGGCAGACTCTTTGCAAGCCAAGCAGCAAGCATTCGTGGGCCCGGGGGTTGGTGGGCGGAAGGAACAACAAGTAACAACGAGCAGCTCTCCCCTGACGTAGGGCTTAAACATAGATGGAGTAGATGAAATTAGAGGGAAGAATAGGGAAGACAGGTGTGCCTGGAATCGACCCAAGCACATCTAAGAACCAGGAGTTCCGATGCGTTCTGAAAGCACATTGTCTAAAAAGACCCTGCCAGACCTTTGCAAAGGTGTTCCTCAACCCTAGCCACAACCACAATGTAAAACCCTAAACCCTAAAGATAGCATGATGTAAAGCAAAGAGCTTTCAGAGCGGTACACTTCTGCTTGAACTTTAACAGGACACAGCTATCACGAACTGTGGCAAAGAGAAGCGGGAATTGCCTGCAGTAAGGAGTATATCTTAAAAGCTTAGGGTTTAGGGTTTGGGGCTTATAAAGAGCTTTTAGGGTTTAGGGTTGAGGCCAGCCTGTGGCATGAAGGTTTACGCTGGATTCCTCAAAAGATGCTATCACGCAGATGACGGAGTACATGGGTGAGACTGTTCAAGAAGCCACCACACATGTCCGTCCCTACTTGTCTCGGGTTGAATTTGAATTGGATGACCTTCCAAGCTACAGCAAGTAGACGATTCTGGAGAAGCAGCAGCCCTGGTTTCCCAGAGCTCGCATCCCCGAAGCCCACAACCCATGCAAGAGCCCACAGCACAGGCGCCTTATCCTCCCAAAGCTGGAGATGAAAGACCTCCAGCAGATGGCTGCCTGCCGATCCCAACAGCCTTCCCCTGAACAGCTGAACCCTCTACGATCAGCCTTTCCGCGCTTTGGCCACGCCCATGGTCCAGTTTAGGTAAAAAGCTCCACACGCACCAATCATGGTCTTGGGTCCAGGACATGCCTCCTAACTTGCCATGTTTAGCCACCATGGATTTCATCTCCACTCATCCTCGCTCGGCGCTTCCCCCAACACAGCCATGCTCAAGCTACACTGCGCGCATGGCACCTTGAGGCCCCTTTTAGAGTTGAGGTTTCTGTGCTATAGGGTTGAGAGTTCAGCGCAACCTTATCTATGAATAGACAGCAACCTAACAGTATAGCAAGCTGCCACCTAGAGGAATGTCAAACTAGCAATAGCTTTGTGCCCTGGAGCTCTTGAGATGCCCCCGTACCAAATTGAGACTGAGAACCTGCAACCGAAAAAGCTACGAGAGACCGGCCTCTGCTTGGAGATTATGGGTAGCTACTAACCCAAATAAAAAAAAATAATAATAATAATAATAATAAACCGTAGCTGCAACCTAATTGCACACATGGAGAAACTGTGATTTATGTCAAAATCTCAAGCGCCTCCCTTCCTTTCCAGTCTCTCAAGATGCCGAATGACAGAGCTGAGCGTCTAAAAGTTGCAGCCTGGTACACTGCAGGATGCATCAGGATTCCTAGACTAGATCCCATTTCGCTCGACACCGGCCCATCGGGGCCTGCTCAACCCAAGATCGCGCCGCGCTTCAGATCCAAAACTAACTGAAAAAGTGCATACCAACTTGACTCGCGCAATTTGCAGAATGGAGCACCCCAACCATCAGTAGCACAAGCTTGCCATAGGTTAAGAGGGATGCCTCCATGGATGCTGTCTATGCCCTCACGCACCTCGCAGGGCCAAAGGTGACTCGAATCTCAGCTCCAAGCTGAGTGACTCAGAGCTTGGCTATACTGATGCAGGTTCCCGTGCCAGAGGAGAACAACAGGAATTCTCAAGGGACTGTAGTATTTGTTATGCCGGGTGCAGAAGTTTGCATGTCTGACCTGTAGTTTACTGGGTTGTGTCGCCTTTGCAGGCAATTGTCGGGCTTGTGCTTCCACATGCATCCGTCACACCGAGCTACACGAGAAAAAGCATAGCACGGATCCAGATTCATTCGACTTGAGAAGCAAAGCCAAAAGAAAATCAAGTGCCGGCACTCCGAATAAAGGCTTGGGAATGGCGCACGCTCCCCATGCAAACCACGCCCGGGCCTCCCTAGCCTGTAGCTGCCGGCGGCCTGACATCAGTGCTAAAGCACAAGCATCCTCCACGGATTTAAACCGATTGGAGCTGCGATTTCGGCTGGCCCTAATGCTGACGCGCTTGGCTCGATGCAAATCCACAAATTCATGTCTGATGCTTTTCCAGATGGTTACCTCCCAGCTGCCATATATGGCGACCAGACCCCGGACCGAACCCAACGGCCAGGCGAAACCAGCTCGCTGAATGAACCACCCGAGCCTTCCCGGCTTGCCAGCCACCCAGGCCATCCGTTCTCGCTGCCCTCTGATGCTTGTTGGCCTGCAGCTAATCTATGATCACAGTAGAATGCAGCTCCACGCGAGTGCTTCTGTGCAAAGGGAAGCGCAAAAGATCATGCATAGCGATAAAACCTTCATGAGGCACCAGCTAGGTACAAGATGCTACGAACGCCAAAACGCACAATCCGGAAGCTTTGGCAACGATGCCTCCATGCCCATCATCTGTCGTCTCATTCACCTGACACTCGTCACCAAAATCGATCGCCCACAACTAAGACGCAAAGCTATTCAGAGATTCCACGAGCAACTCCCCCTACTCTCAGTAGCGGTGCACACCTTCTTTGCAGCTGAGAGTTCTGCCACGGATTTTGTAGCTACAAAGAAGAGGTTTTGCGGCTGTCCACGTTGCTTCGCACCATGCCGCTTCAAAGCCTTTGACCCGTATACAAAAGGGCACTGCAGGGAGTGATACCCAGCTCGCCTTCTCAAACCAAATTCTGACGAAAGGGCGTAACACAGCTTGGGATGTGGGGTCACTCTCCCTTGCAATTATGGCGGGGGGCTACACAGAATCCCGGGCTCTATCAAATGCAACCTGGGTAGTTTGCTCAGGCTTCTTAGCCATAGAAACTCCGACACAGAGCAGGGTTCCTGAGGAGAACAAGGGAACCACAACCAGTACTACAATTTAGGAGTCTGGGGGTTTAGGGTTAAAGGGTTTGTAGGGTTTAGGGTTTGGGGCCTAGGAAGCCCCAAATGCAGCTCGCGCCTGTTCTCCGCCTGGCCGCGGAGCTCCGGGCCCCAGCGCCTGGCCTGCCAACAGCTCCTAAAGACTTCACGCTGTGTCCCCTAAGTACCCTACAGCGTTGGGAAGAATGGTACCATAGTACTTTTGTTATTGCAAGGTCACGCAGGAGCTTCAGTATCAACAGTAGTATAGACACTTGCAGATTCCAGGTATTACAAATATGACATATATTGATGATGCATATAAACACACACATGTGTATATAGGTATTTACATGGTACACAATCACCAGGAACGGCTTCAGAGCAAGGATAGCCAACATCAGCTTGGACACAGGATCCCTTTCTGCCAATGCCATCAGTGGAATGGGGCATCCCAATCATATATAGCGGTATATTGTGGTATATCATACTAGCTGGTATTGTACTTTCATGGTATACTATACTGGCTAGGATTGTATTTTGGTATATTATACTGCCTAATCTTATATTATCATGGCGTATTCTACTAGCTTCCAGGAAACTACGGGATGATACCGCTTGGGCGCATCTTCATAGACTCGGAGCGGACCTGCCTTCGCAAAGCTTCCACACACATCGCCCCAGACATCTCCCGTTCAGGAGGAAGCTCAGCGGTCCCCGAGCCTGGTTTGGGGCTTTGGGTTTTGAGCCTGGACAAGGTGGAGGAGGAGGAGGAGGAGGAGGTGGACGGGCTACATCAAGTGCAACCTGAGTTGTTTGCGCAAAATTTATTGAACCCAATGTCCTTTGGGGCCCGAATGCCTCTAGGCCATGTGGCCCCATGGCCCTACAACCCCCAGGTTCTCTTCCTCCTCCCACACAAAAATCAAAAGAACTCGAAAGCTGCAAGCCTGGACC